CTGGGTTTATGCCGCGCGGATTAGCATGCAAATTCGCCGCATTGAATTTCATAGTTTCGACAGCTGTAACAACCGAATAGATTCGTCGTGACGCGACGCGACGCGACGCGACGCGGACCAGCACCGACGACGGTCTACCAATCCCCTCTAGTTTGCCGTCTCCTGATAAGCGAATTGTTTCGTCGGATCGTGCTATAACTGAGCGCAGAATAACTCGATCCAACGGCTGCACTACTATCAGCGAGATTAATACGTGGCTCCTAATGAAAACGGGAATCAAGCGAAGATGGACGCAATGGCGAACACGCGCTATATCCCAATCGCGTTTCAAAGCAAATCGATGTTAAATGTAAATTGAAGAAGAATTGGATTTCCCATATACGTTAATCATTTATTCACGCAAAATATTGCCGAGTAATGAACAAGCGAAATAATATTTATTGCTTTGAACGTAGATTCAATATCAAAAGTCGTTAAAATGCATGTCTCCTCTCCCCCGATCGAATTCCCCCCCCCGCCACTCGATTCACAGCCACACTGCGACAAATGTCATGGAAAATATTAATCCAAATGTACCAAAAGTAAAATTTATTGCTTACAATGTAACAACTGCTTTATCAGAGTTATTCTTTTTAATTCGTCATGGACATTTATTGCTACTGAATAAATCAGTATGAAAAAAAATTTCACTTTAATTATTCGTGAGTTTAATGCATGGCGCGAACAATTTATTCAGAATATTGTTTTTTTATTTAAATAGTTTTTAAAGTTTCATGTAAAATTTCCTTTATTTATATCCATTATAGTGAGGTCGTGTTCCAGTTTTATGACACGTGTAATTATTACATGAAATTTAATATCATGTACATTTAACTCTGTAGTATCTTACATGCATACGGCTCGCATATATAAGTCTCGTTCTAGGTCGTCGGCGTAATCATTCCTAACTGGGCATTATCGCACCCATGACGATGTTAGCAATTTTTTTCTTTCTCAGCGTCTTAACGTCCTTACGATCTTCACACGCGGAGCCCCCTTTTATCATTTCCATGGATCTTCCAGTCTCATTACATCGTTTCGCAATAGAACTTAACCGCGTCCCGTCGTCACGAAAAACAAAACGCTAATCGGGGTTGTCGGAAATTAGTTTTTACGAGATCATTCATTGTCGTCTGTTGCGAAATGGAAACAATTTCGAGAGCGCAGGGGAGCTAAATTAATATTCTAACGACGAAAGAGCAACTTACAATATTTCCGGCGCACAACACGCCGATTTAATTACGCAAATAGGGGAGGGACGAGGGAGAATGCGATATCCCGCGTATTCCAATAACTCGTCATTGGCCCGATCAAATTTACTGCCGCGCGTGTGTATCGATGCCGCCGCGAAACCGCGAACGTATGTTGCTATGAGCAAAATTCAATACCGCCCAACCACAGGGAGAGCCGCTTGGTGAACCCGTATTTATCGTCGACGGTGAGCCTTGCCTTGCCTTGCCTTGCCTTGCCTTACCTTGCCTTGCCTTGCCTCGCCTTACCTCGCCCTGCTTCGCAAATGCAGCACGAGTTGCCGGTAAGCGGCTTGCTAACGCGATTCTCGCTCGTATATGGGTTAAGGCGCGTGAGTACGGTACCGACTTTCGCGTAAAAGCGAAACGCCCTTACGGGCTCGTGGCACGAGCCCGACTTCGCGTAGTATGCTCTTAGCATGCAAGCGCGAGTACGGGGAGACCATGCACACGAGTCGCTCGTATATTTCGCCAACGCTAACTTTCGTGCCGTTATGTTGTCGTTATTCGTGTTCGTTCGTGGCCGCTAAACTTGTACGTCGAATCGTACCGTAATAATGTACCCAAAGAAGATATCTTAACCACACTTTTGGGTATCTCTGTCCCTTAACTTTCCTTTATTTATTCGGCATTGCTCTTCTGGCGACCTGAAGGATATCTCCGATTTCGTTTTACATTTCTTCGATTTTTACCACAATCAGTAAAATTATACTCATAAAATTATTTTAAGCGCTTACGTCAGTTTCGAAATCAGGGATGAATACTATTTAAGAATTATAAATTATGGGTGTAAAAACTCTAATAAAAAATGTTCAAAACTTTTCGAATAAAATTTACACCGTGTAACACAAATGCAGCCAGACAATTATAAAAAAAAAGGATAGGCAGGCAAAGCTCTTTCATACTAAATTCATATGCTTTCCATTATCTCTTTTGAATATTTTCTATTTTTCTCATTCAATGTGTTTTTTCATGGAATTTTCTTGACAGTTTTATTCATGTCACGCCAACCTTTTCTTCATTATTTTTAAACGTCCGACAATATCGGAATTTTAACGAAGTAATATACGCTACAACAAGAATCTTTTTATAGGACAAGTAAATGAAAGAATCTCTCACAACCATCTATACATTGATCCTCAAGTATTTAAAAGGTGCACACACATACGTAGCAAGAAATAGAAAATACAATATATATCATTGTACCGCTTTACTGAGAGAAGAATTTAATTTTATCGGATTGCAAGTGGTATAAAATAGAACATTGGATAATAAACAATTCGTGTAACGTATCATGTGTTTACGAAATTTATATATGTATTTAAGCTATAAGAGTAATAAGAGAGAGAGATTAAATGAAATCTATTTACACGATAGATGAGGTTTTTCTAAAATGTTATGACAAATAGTATATTTTATTTTTCCGCAAAATTATTTTTAAACGTTAAGCCATCGAATAAACCGATACAATAGCCAGAGCTTTTATTCGATATCGAGCAATCGATGAAATTCCAGATATAACACGGTGGAAAATAGACCGAGCAATTTTGTTCGAGGTATTTCGATCAGAGATTGCATCAGGAATAATATGCAACGTCGATTGTACGATTGCTAAACGCAAGCTCGTACGGCGATCGGGAAGATAAGTCGCAAGTTGCATCAACAACATACGAATATCGTCATAATCGAGGATTTGCCGGTGATTTTCTTGGCTACTCCTGCCTGCCGATCTCCCGAATAGGAACATCTGACGTCGCGCCAGGAAGTGTTCTTCGTAACTGTCGAAACTGAAAGTTTCCAAGGAGATCGCGGGACAGCAGAGATGAGAGGAGGACGATCAAAGTCACGTCTGTTAAGTTTCGAAAAGGAGTCAATTAAAAGTTCCAGGAACTTGTCTCTTCTGTGCCGTGCATACGGATTTTCTACGGCGAAGTAGCATTCTGGAATTTTTCACTTCGCCAGTTATTACGGTACGGCGAATCCTCGTCTCGAATCCGCGAACGAATCGAATATAATGCGCCACAGTCGGATTTTCAGTCGCTTGCTTCTCAGGATCTACCTCGCTTTCGACGGTTCTGCGGAATTGAATTTTGCGAGAAGAAAGTGGCCAAACGCGAACAAAAAAGGATACGAGAGGAATTTGAGTCTCCCCGTACACTGCACTTGTTGCCGTTGGAGCAATTTTGAAAAAGTATCCTGCTTTTTCAAACATAACGTGAATTCCATGCTACGTGGAAAACAACGGTGTCTTGAATCTTAAAGAAGCAACATAAAAACCACTCCTACGTGCCTGGACTAGCTGGCACGGCTGCCGACATCCTGGGAAAACTTTTAGATTGCGCGTCACCTCATTTTCAAATCCGCGTGGGCCTCTTCCGCGATTTTGCCGAATCTGGAGATGTTTCGAGCAAAGATATATCTGAGAGATATCTTTTCTCTGGAGAAAAGCACGATTGCTTGCGGAAACAAAGATATACGAAGAAAAATTTCGATATACCTTGCAAAATATTTACGTTTTATTTAAATTTTAATCATATTTAATAAAAGGAGCGTATTTAATAAAAAAAAATGTATTTTCATGTCATTATAAATATTATCAAGAGACACGGTAGTGTCTCGTGCCAAGTGGCCGCGCAGCGCGAAATTGCCCTGTGTCTTTTACACGAGTCAGCGAGTTAAGAGCTCCGAAATTATCGCCTCAAAAAGTCTTCTTTTCGTATTTTCGACAGTAGATGGCACTCGTTTATTGCTCTCATTTATCGATTTATTTATCCATAGTTTCGTTAGCACTGTATTATATCTCGACATTTCACTGTATAGTTACTTTAATAAGTTACTTTTAAATTAAAAGTGTATAAAATATAAAAAACGGGCCGCTTAACGTGTAAACGTCATTGCGTATACCCATATTCATGCCGTTATCTCCATCCGCCATTTTGTTCAGCCATTTTGAATTTCCAAATTTTGAACACAAATTCGAAACGAGCAACCCCAAAAACCTCACGATACAAATTTTCACCGAAATCGAAGAACATTTAAAATTGCGGTAACATTTCCGTCCGCCATATTGGTTCAGTCATTTTGAATTTCGAAATTTTTATCACGATTTCGGAACGAGCGATCCCTAAAACCCCCGAATACGAAGCTCTCGTGTATTATCCGATAATTACATATGCAATCACGAGAAATCATTGTATAATATTAAATAAAATCGTATATTTTACCAAATTACTTCATAGTAGAGAAAAAAATTATTTGTAATCAGATGAAATCATGTAATCTGTGGGACAATATTTCAGCTAGTGGTTACCCCCTCGGGATTATGTTATCGCAGAAAGCGATACAGAGGCAACATGCAAAAAATGTGCCATAACAATGAAGTACAAAACAGTAACAGATTTAACAAAACATTTGAAACGTAATCACAAGTAATATACTACGAGTTGTGGATACCTTGTAGTATACCTACTTATGCTTATGTCTCAAATGTTTTGTGAAGTCTGTTACTGTGTTGTACTTTATTGTTACGGCACATTTTTTGTATGTTGCTTCTGTATCGTTTTCTGCGATAAAATAATCCCAAGTCCAATGGAACTTCACTTCTTTCTTTTCTTCTTCTTTTAATTTGTCTGGATGTGCCTTCACCAAGTGTTTATGTAAAATAGCTAAGGATCTATTATGTATAATGAATTTTGCATTACAATAATTGCATTTTGCCTCTTTGCTACTTGTTAATTTTGTGTAATGTCCAACGACGAACTAGGATTAGAATGTCCTCTGCTTCTTGTTCTGCCATTATAACGTTTTGTAAGGAATATTATTAACTGATCATAGAAGGTACAGAAACGATGTATAAATTTATTCGCAAAAATTGTTTATAAATATTTAAAGACAGAGGTATGTACTTATGATTCTTTGACGGAATACGTATAAATATTGATGTTTGTATTTTTGAATCTGATAACGAGATTTAAGAGATCTATTTATATAGCTCTCATATTACAATATCTAGCTCTTATATTAATATTATGTTAAGTAACAGCATTTCCATTCCGAAACGATCTTTCAATCAAATTTTAAATTTTCGTTATTCTAGACAATCTAGACAACGCCAATTAATCCACAAAAGACAACGAAACGTAAAATATGATATAGCAATTCATTTATCGAAGCGCAAAATGCAAAATATATTCTCTAAATCTTTTGGAGTGAAAATTCAATCAATCTTGAAGAAAAAAATGAATACTTTTCCCTCTTGATTAAACAAAAAGTGGCACATTTTCACTCTTTTGAAGTAAGATTTCTTTTGGAGTGAGATTTATTCCAAAGGAACAAAATCTCACTTCTTTTTTTGGAACGAGACTTTATTCCTTAGATTTTACTCCAAAAGAGTAAAATCTTACTTGAAAAGAATAAAATAAATCTCACTCCTCTTAAAGAGTGAAAATGTTTTCATTTTTTTCAAGACTGGCTCAATTTTCAGTCTTTTTGAGTGAAATTTCACTCCAAAAAATTTAAAGAGTATATTTGGCACGATTTAATTTTATAAAATATTAAATACTTATTTTGAGATGATAATTTACCGACATTTTACTGACGCTTTAGTGTTTATTATTACGGTGTCTCCGTTGTACTTAGCGCTGTGTATAAGCAAGGTCGTGCTACTACTACTTTCATTCGTTCAATGAAACTCGAGTTGGCAGGCGTAGCGCAAACTGTTCTGTGTATCGTCGTGCATTACCTCTTGAAACGTGGTTGCGACAAGTGCTAGAAGATATACATCGTAATAATACTTCATGCTTATTAGAGTAAGTGATTGCTAACTCGCGTAATTAAAGTTCCATAAATGAATTAAGATGACGACTGCTCATTGCAAAGCAAATATTTTATTTAGTAGAAATTAGAATGACTGAAAATAGGAATTATTAATTTTTTTACTATATTTATGGATAATAACAAACATATGTTTTTAGTAATATTTAGTAATCATTTTTTTTTCATAAAATAATTTTTTAACAACGTTTTGATTTGAATACATCCATTCCATAGAACTTTGAATTTTTGATTTAAATATAATTTACCATTGACAATGTGAAATATATGAATAAAGAGAAAAAACGGTATTACACATCGTATATTGATAACTGGTTTAAAATACAAGGAAAAGAACATTTAACAAATTTATTTCACAATTTGTAAAATATTTCATGTCGATGATACTGACTTGTATACGGCTCTGTGGTATTTGTTTTAGTATGCCAAACCACTGCGTACCGTTGTCGTTCACGCAACGAATTTCGAGTTGACAGTTAACGCGTACTGTTCTGTATCTCTTCGCATTACTCATCGAAATGCCTATCAAGTACTAGAAGATATCAAACGCGATAATTTACTAACAATTGAAAATTCGTTGATTATTTGAAGAAATAAATAGTTTGCACAATTTATTTGTTTTACAAAATCGAATCGATTGAATTTCTTTTACAGAATCAAACGGATGGAAATCATAAATTATTATTTTATCGCATATACAGACAATAATTTCTTTAATGGTTAGATTATCTTGCAATGAAATTTCTTTAAATTTTTCTATGATATAATCGTTACTTATAATTTTTAGATTAAAGCAAGAAGTTTGCTGCGGATCGAGTAATTTAAACAATAGAAAATGATACATTGGCTGTTAATTAATAATACGTGTATCTCGTTGAATTTGCACGTTGGAAATATATTTCGACTTTATTTATAATCGTACCATATCGCACAGTATTAACGATATCGAAATGATGTTTAATTAATAAGTACGATCGTAATTAGATCCTTATTTTAATATTTTTCAACCGCATGATATTGATTCAGCACGGTTTATTAAAATTCTCTGGCTGTTCCACATTTCGTTCAATTTTGTGAGAATCACAGACGTCAACAAATCATAGAGCTTCGTATTTTTTCTTTGCGTTATTTTTGCGGTCGGATTATTTAAATCGGATTCCGTCACAACGTACAATAATAAAATGCGCGTTGCGTGTGACGTTATAAATGACATGCAAAATGCCCTGTAATTATCTTATTCTAATGATTAATACGCGCGATTATAATTAACCGTGTTTTCGCGAGCGTTATATTACATGAGTGTAATGTAATGAATGTTTTTGAGAGAAGGAAATGATTGAAAAGCATCAGGCGGTGGCAGAGCCAATCTTGTGGTGTGTGGGAGTAAATTATCAATTTTTATTTCATTTGCACAACAGTCCAATAATAGTCTCTTCACTTATGTAATATTACGGAATATTTTACAAAAATTACATAATATTTTAGTTTTACGTGAAGAAATAATTGTTGTGTTTTTTATAATCAACTGCATATAACTTGATTGATTTCTAATCATCAAAATGTGATTATTGAATTATTTGTAATATTCATTGCAGATTCTTATTCCAAGACTGTTTTAAACAATATCTTAAAATGCTAATACAGTTCTGTGATTGGTTTATATACACCATCGTAAGACTATAGGTCTTAAATACTTAAGCTGGTTTTAAATATAAGAATCAACTATGAGTTCCGGCCTATGAATCTTTATTGTGATTTATCTCACCTTTACACTTTTCGTAAGATTTACTTAATGATTATAAATACAGGCTTTAAAGATGTAGCGACATTCTTCACATATTCACGGTGTCTGAAAAGATATATTTCGTTCGCAATCTGTCTTCAGCTCCAGCTAGGAAAGATGCGGAGATCAAAATGAGATACTCACGGGAATTTAATATTTTTCGCATCCAGGCAACAGCCGTGAAGCGACAGCACATAGCCACAAAACTCCTTTCGCACAACTGCGTTTGTCGTCATCGCGGCGGTGGCGAAACGAGCGTCATACGTGCAAATTGAAACACGCTCCGCCAGTCTTAATTAAGTCGCTTGCAATCAGGCGATGCGAGCTCGCAACAGCCACTGACTACGTTTACACGGTCACCCTTAATCGGATTTAATAACATCCATAGTTAGAAACTAATCAATCACAGTCATTCCATTCTTTAGAGGAGTAGCTATTATTGGTCACTTTTATAACTACAGATGTTATTGAACCCGATTAAGGATTTAAGCCGTGTAAACGTGGTCACGTGTCAAATGTGATCGACGCAGTTGCCACCGGATCTCGAAAAGTGCACGCATATTTTAACGCAGCAGCCAGATATGCTGTAACTGCCTCAAGTCGCGTGGCTCGATGACAACACGTGAGTGGTTTTTTAAAGCGAAGGATACCGACTTTGGTGCTACGACAACCACACGACTCGGAACAACCGGAAGTATCTCGCAGCGATCTCATTATCTATCATATCTGCTTTGCTTTCATCATGCGAGACATAATTAAGCAAAGAGTTGACTCATTAAAATTGTCGCTTTATAATTATCATTACTCGCTCCTCAACGAGTGTCCTTTTCGTAGCTCTCAGAGGTAAAGGAAAACGTTTCTCTTTGCGTTTGATGCACGTAATGACCGACTACACGTTTGATCATACCTGCGTAGATCGCGTCAGTATCTAACAGTACGTTTAAGTAAGGTTCTTTTCCAATTAGTGCTATTGTTTAATTTAAAATAATGTTTGTTTAATCCTTAGTATACACGATTCGTGTCCTGGGATAATTTTCATCACTTTTATAAAAATTATATTATTAAATAATTTTTACGTATACTTTAACATCTTTAGAAAATATTTATACCATTATGTATTAAAAAAAAAGTTGTACATAAATATTATAATTGATAACTCAGTACTCCTAATATTTTAAAGAAAAGAAATAAACTAAACTTGAATGCTCAATCGTGTATACTAAGAATAAATTCGATAAAATTATAATGAGCATTTAGTAAATATCGCGTCAATGTGTTCAAAATCTCGAATTTCTATAAAGTGAATCATACAGGACAGGAGGTACAAGTTTCGTCTTTCATGTAACCGACTTGTTTTCGAGAGTCCGCAACCAGAGCGGAAGTCCCCTCGACCACGCAATAGTCCGTCCAAATAACACACCCCGCACGTAGCTAAACCCTTAATTAGCCCCTTCCATAGTTTGCAAAATCACTCAAGAGTCGGATTAGTTCCGTGACACACCCGGCAACCTTAAAATGAGTTTCTACGGAAGATGTAGGCGTGCCAGTAACCGATGGTAGGACCACCCGGTGTTCGCGCGGTCGTTTGCGTGCGCCTTCTAACCAGAAGCCTCAAATAAAACCGTGGATATCTGTATGCGGGGTGCGTATCTGTCGCGGGCTCGTGCTGATTGCCTTGTCCTGCTAGCCTTCAGATTGCGAGGGCGGAGAATGAGAGGGTGAGAGGAGGCAGAGGCAGGTGCTGATGGTAGAGAATGGTGAGCGAGCGCGAAGGGGGAATCGCTCGTATCTGTATCGGGGGAATGGTTTGTATGTTTCTGCCGGCCGTTCAGGGATGGCTTGCAAACAAACCGCGTTCCGTTATTTGATTCTGTCCGTTCGTTCAGCGCGGCGCGGCGCGGCGCGGCGCGTCACGCTATTCGGCGCGTCGATTCCGCGCGTACCTTTCCCAGTTGGATGTATCGGATAGAGTATTTCGCCGCGACCAACACAACACGTTGGCGACAGCGAAATACTCTATCGAACTTGAACTTTGATACAGAATAAAATCGGTAACGAATCCAGCTATTTTCTGGTCGATGTATCCGTGGAATTTTCAGATGTACTATACAATTACGTTTGGCAGTCTTTTAGAATGCGGTAGGGAAGCTTAGGAGAATCGGGAATGTTAAATCGAGATAAAACAGCTCACGAAATCTGATTTAGCTGTGCGAATCGAGCTTTTGTAGCGGTTCAGCTGTAGAGCAATTCAGTGCGATTCGCATATTTAATTACGAAAGTTCTGTTTTTAATTACGAAGCTATGCTGTTTAATTATAAAAGTTCATTATTTCTTTGACGCGCGCTGCGCAGTCTCTGGATTGGCGAGCTATAGAAACTATCGCATAACACAGTTTCTACATTCTACAAACAATCAATGTCTATAGACATGAAATGTAAACAGTTACACTGATGGAGATATGTAGATGTGTGATCAGCGCAAACCAACCTAACTAATTAAGGTACAGGTATAACGCGTAATGTACTACTAGTACAGCCGTTCCGTAACGTTAATTACACCATTTATTTACCTAATTTGTTGTCATTAATTAGATGGAAGCCTTGATAAGCCATATTCTATTTATAAAATATACCTAACGATCTCACATCCGCCGAATTAATCGAATCGAATACTAATGTTCAATACGTGACAATATCTATATAAAATGCATAAACAATCGATCGAATAATAAAAACATCGAAATAAAATGTCCTCTGCAATATAAATTTAAAATGCAAAATTCGCTATGAAATAATAATTAATTCTTTATTGAATAATTCAAATTATTACAGCATAATTAATCATGGATATTTATCCGTGAATATTGATTTAAACTGATTTTTATACTTCCCGAGCGATAATACACTTCTCCGCGTGTTATTCGACGCGTCACAAAGTCGTCGAGAATCTGCGAGCTTGAAAGGCATGGAAATCTGATCCTCACGGGCGTCACAGTGGAATTCATGGTTTTGCTCTCGATAGCAGGGCGAGCTGTACCTGGCGGCGAGTCGACCGCGATCTCATTTATCTTCAGACGGAATGCGGCTGCGCCTAGGGCTAATAAGGTGTTATTAATGTCGTCACGCCATAGCTATCCAACTGCCTCCTAACTTTGCAAACTATTCTCCGCCGGCGGCTCGCTGCCATTCTCGCGTATCCCTGCTTCATTTACCTGACAGTTCGGGTAACCCTGCCTGTCTATCTCTCCGCTCCAGCCCGATAGACCCTGTCATTCCCATCGAAATGTACCTACACCCCGGAAAAATGACGTTGCGTAATTATCACGATTACATGACGCACTGTGATATCGCACCATTAATATACGAGAAATGTTTAAAATGAAGCGACATATTTAATTTTTGTAAAATCATTTAGAATTATAAAATAAACTTACCTGACGCATTGAATATTTAAGTGTATCCAATATGAATTCACCGTGTTACAATATGTAACACCGCGATTAGCAATGCCGGATTATATCTTTTAAGTATTATTTAGTAAATGTAGCTGTGTGCGACTGGCACGTCAAAGGTATCCTTTCAACGTGGATTTAATTAGAATCCTGGAGGAGTTTCTATCGAGTTGTAATAGAAAGGCGGATGAATGGGGAAATCAGCGTCTGAAGTAAACCGAAGGTTATTTCTTCTCCGGCCCTTGCGTGCTCGTGTATCGGCGCGCACCTGAGAAC